CTCTCAGATATGGTTAGTAGTTTAGTATTCGTAGTTTAGTAGTATTACCAGCACTGCTACTCATGAAATTTTCAGAGCCACACATCATCAGCTAGCTATACTATATTCATGTTTGGTATGACCTAGAGACTATAAAATACAAGAGAACCGGAAAAAAAGAGAGAAACTGAGAGAAAGAGAGAGAGAAACAAGAAGAATGCAGGCAAAGAAAAATAAAATAGCTTAGTGAATTGAAAAAGTCAGAGAGAGAGAGAGAGAGAGAGAGAGAAGAAATAATAAAAATGAAAAGAAGAACAAAAGTAAGGAAGCACAAAATAGTACGGCAAATTGGAGCTTGAAAGAGAAAGAAAAAGACAGCAGCGACATGGAAGAAAGAGAGAGAGAGGGAAAGAGAGAGAGAGGGAGAGACAATATTTTGTTTGCTTCCAAACAAGATTAAGAAGACAGGATGAGATGACTTAGTTCAAGATATCAAGTAACTCACTCATCAAGTAGAACAATCGTGCGATATGTTGTTCACAGGTTCACAGGAAGTGAATTAATTAAACGAAATTAAAGAATCATATATAGATGAATAGATAAAGAGAAAGGGAGAGAGAGAGAGAGAGAAAGAGAGTTAAAGTGAAAAAACGAATGAAAAAATGAAAATTAGAATATGAAAGTTGGAAAAGCATAGAAAATTGTAATAAGACGTGAATAGATGGATAAAAAATGAATGAAAACAAGACGGGAAAAAGATTAAGTGAAAAAAATGGTTACCAGAAATAAAAAGAGAAAGAGAGAGAGAGAGAGAAATCAGTACATAAAAATGAGATAATAAGAAAATAAAGCTCTAGTTAAATAAAGACATATATACAGTTAAGAAGCGATAAAAATGGAAAAACAGTCTGAGTCCCGCCAAATCCTATTAAATAGGGATTATCCGGATCTGATTGAAAGATAGATAGATAGAAAAAAAGATAGACTGATAGGTAGATGGTGATTGAATGAATGGATTTGTGAATGAATGAATGAACAAATGAACAAATGAAAGAATGAATAAATGAACGAACGAACGAATGAATTAATTAATTAATTAAATGAATGAACAAATGAATATATATTGAAAAATTGATTGCTAAATAAATTAAATTAAGACGTCTGAATGCAGAAATGGATGGATGGATGGATGGATGGATGGATGGATGGATGGATGGATGGATGGATGGATGGATGGATGGATGGATGGAAGGATGGATGGATGGAAGGATGGATGGATGGATGGATGGATGAGTAGGAAAAAATTAAATTAAAAAAATTAAATTAATATATATATATATAAATGAAAAATATGTATGTATGAGTGACGGAATGTAAAGACGGATAACCAGATATATGTACATATATATATATTTTTACAATATTCTATAAATTCTACCGAATGTTTGGCGTTTATATGTTTGTAGTTCGTTTTTTCGATTTTTCTCACTAAAGTTTTTTGGTGAACGTTTAGTTTATTAAAATTCAAAATAAACTTATTTTTCGAATTCATGCTACAAATAAGGCCATATTTCGATTCCGAATGAATCATCGTCAGTGATCCTGTGTATATATAGGGAAATATTGACTTTGTCAAGATGAACTTTGACGTTGTAAAAATTAACTTTGGTGTTGTAAAGTTGAACTTTGATGCGAATTAGGTGTCAGGTTTCTTTATTGGCTGGTCATCTTCTTTGGTCTCCTTTTCTTCATCGATAGCATCATATTCTTCTTTGTCACTATTTACGATGCTAGTTTTTATCACCTCTTTGTTTTCGTTGTTGGTTAAGCGCCGGGTTGGAAGTGAGGTTGTCATTTTTTGTTGTATATTTATTATTGGTTTATTGATGTCAATTAGGACTGCTTCTGCAATTTTAAGATGCGTGTAGTTGCTGTTCTGGTATATTACTTTGGTGTTGCTGTCGAGGATTTCACGGCTAATTGTGATTGAGTGTGTTGAGTCCAAATGAGATTTGTATATATATATATATACAATAAAAATGATCGATAGATAGAAATATATATATAGATGTATGGATAGATAGTGATTAATGACTCCATAACAAAATGCATTAATGTCTGTGTTTATGTGTGTATGTGTGTGTATCTTTCTTTGTGGATGTGTGTTTATCTTTCTATGTGAGTGTGTTTGTTTATGTGTCTGTGTGTGTATTTATCTGTGTGAGTGTGTTTGATGACATCAATATAAACCCGACGGCAATTAAAATTGCAGTAGTAACAACACAACAACAACAACAACACAACAACAACAACACAACAAAAACAACAACATTGATAATATCAACGTCATCTTCATCATCGGCAGCCAGTAAATTCAATAGATGGGAATGATTTCAATGAAGGCTTGACTGGCTATATGAACAAGCTTTGTGTATTTCCTGTATGATCATCAATGTCTTTATATGTGTATGTATGTGTGTGTGTGTTTATGCGTATGTGTGTGTGTTGTGTGTGTGTGTGTGTGGTGTGGTGTGAATGATAAAAATGTTTCGTCATGCCTAGTTTGGTAATGTTAAAAGAAAGAATCGATCCATGTTTTTTGAAAGGATTTATTAGGATTTTTTTTACAAGACAGCAAGGTTCAGATAAAGGATAAAAATAAAATAGAACACTCAGCGATTGAAGAAACAAATGAAGAAATAAAATGAGAGAGTGAACGAATGGAAAAACGAGTGAATGAACAAACAAAACTCTTGCTATGGTGATAATGTAAATAGACAAGGCGAAAAAATACCCTCACCAAAAAGAGCGTTTGTTGGAAGAATGTATTGTAAAAATTAAAAATACTACAAATGATCATGATGACGATGATTGTAAAGATGGTGATAATGATGATGGCGATGATGACGATGATGATAATGTGATGAAGATGATGATGATGGTTAAGTAAATTTTAAAGAATATTCAACGTTGATAAAAATAGAGGCAGAGGAATTGAAAATTAAACACAGAGAAAGATATAAAAGCATGAGACTTGCTCGACAAATCATGTGTAACATGTATGTATGTTTGTATGTATGTATACATGTATGTATGTATGTATGCATGTGCGTATGTATGTACCTATATATGTATATTTGGGTTCTTTCAACCATGGACTGAGGCTGTGAGATAAACGAGGAAGGCATATATTTGATTCCGATGTCTGATGGTCTGATATTTTGCGAGATAACGACCTCCATACTGATGAATATGGTAATGAAAATAGTGATAATGATGGTGGCTATATTGGTGATGACGACGACGATAACGATGATGGTAATGATAAAATTTGTGATGACGATGACGATGATGATAATGATGATGAAAAATGATGGTTATTATGTTTCCCCTAAACATTTTCAGGATATCCGGAGTCAGATATTCACCACAACTGGATTGCTTATACTGGTAAGCTCCAACCATCATCGTCGTCATCGTCGTCATCATCGTTGTCATCATCATCGTCGTCGTCATCATATTTATAGGAATGGACTGACGAACGGTTAAAATGGCGACCCGAAGAGCACAACGACATGAAGGAAATTATCATCGAAATTAAAAATCTGTGGAGGCCAGAGTTCGCCGTTATCAACGGGTTAGTTAGTAGAAGGTCAAGGATCGAAAAGTTATAAAACTCAAAGGTCAAATAGTTAAAAGGTCATAGATAATTTAAAAAAAGTTCAACGAATCACGTAGGTCAAATTGACGGGTGTCGTTATATAGTCACCATAGTCATCAATTTATCGTAAAACCAAAACGAAGCTACAAAATTTAAAATAGTTTGTTCAAATTAAGATTTCTATTATTTTTAATTACTAATTCTATTTTGTTTTATTTGTGTTATCCTTTCATTTCTATGATCCTTCTCTTTTTTTCAGAGCCGAGAAAATTTACGACGAGTACAACCAGTTCCGCGCTGTCGTCTCCTACGCAGGCATCGTACACTGGGAGCCTGGAGGTTACTTTACAATACAGTCCATGTCTAGAAAGAGAGAGAGAGAGAGAGAGAGAGACAGAGAGAGAGAGAGAGAGAGAGAGAGAGAGAAAGAGACAGAGAGAGAGAGATAAAGAAAGAAAGGTAGAGAACACAAAAAGAATATTACTAATTTTAGTGATAAGTTTGATAAAAGTGAGGGAAAGAAAGAATGAAAGAGTTATTTTTAAAGTTGTTTGTTCTTGTAGATCTCAAACAATTGATACTGTCTTAGGTGTCTTCGCGACCATGTGCTCGGTCAACATAACTTTCTACCCATTTGACAGGCAGATGTGCGAGTTGAAATTTGGTGCCTGGTCCTATCACACAGGTGGTTTCGTTTTGTCGGAGATGTCAAATCTATTGTTTAAATAATGTTAGACGTTATTTAAATTAAATGGGTTTATATGTGAAAAAGAAAAAACACATTACAGACAAGATGAACCTTACACTACCGACAACCGAGGTCAACTTGGAAAATTATAAGGAAAATGGCGAGTGGGAGATTGAAGGCTCGAAAGCACAGAGGAGCGAGTTCTCATACACCTGTTGCCCCGGGCAGAAATTCTCAAACACCATATACACCATTTATTTGAGGTATCTATTTAATAATTTCGTGGTTTGAATTTTAAAAATATTCTGTCGAACCAATCGTAAAAATATTTCATGGTCGTGGATGACGCAGACGTCGTCACTTGTTCTACGTGATGAACGTCATAATGCCGTCAATCATGACCTCCATCCTGCTGCTGTCCATCTTCTTCTGCACGCCTGCTCAGAAAGTTCAGATCGGAGTCGTCGTCCTTCTAAGTTTCAGGATATTTCTGCTCAACGTCGCCGGCAACATTCCCAAAACTTCGGACAACATACCACTTCTCGGTTACTCGAATGATGTTTTACAAAACGTTCATCATCGAAGCAATTAAATGTTTTATAACTTCGCCATCTATTATACGTTATCAATACATCACATTTCAACACGCTCCACACAACTAAATATACCGAATTTAGTTGTCTACCTAACGTGCACACTCGCCATCACAACGATGTCCATGGTGCTGACAGTTCTGGTGTTAAATTTGTACGGCATCGCCGATAGGCCAGTTCCACCCTGGATGAAGAAACTCTTCTTGGTTCATCTGGCTAGCTTTCTTGGTAGTCCATGCATGCTTCCATAAATGTTTAATCCTGTATTTTGTTTTTGAGGTGATAATTTTTCTAAACTATTATTCTATAAAAGAAATTTGTTACAAAATTCAAATTTTAGGGATGTTCCAAACTGCCAGCACCTACAAAGCTCAACTACTTGAATCGTCAACAGCCACCACGAACAAATCCTCAGTGGCCAGTACCACAACGGCCTCCTCCAGCAAGCGAACAAACGGTCGAAAGCGGAACGCTCAGAACAAATCGCACCACCAATGGGGACAGAACCAAGAAGAACTCGACACATTATCCGTCTCATTAGAAGACAACGGCAATCAGCAGCAAAAACAACAGTGGAAAAATTCTCCGAAAAAATCTTTTGACCACAAACGTCATCCTCTACCATTCACGCCTTTATTCCAGCTGCAACTGCTCCAACACCTTGTCCCGACGGCGTTCAGCGAGCAGGCCGGTAAAGAGGAGCTGACGGAGCAAGCCTACGCAGAAGTGGCCGACGCCATCAACTACTCGCGCGAGTGGATACGCCTCGCCGAAGTTTTCGATAGGTTATTTTTCTGGCTGTTTCTAGCTGCTATCGTACTTTCTACCCTGGCCCTCTTCCTTCCGCTCATGTTTGATTTGGACGCAAAGAGGATTTGAAGTAGAATTTGAAGTTCTCGGAGATCACTGTTCAAAAGTTTTTTTTGATTTTTTTTTCGCCATTTTAAATATGATTGTCGTCAGGTGTAACTAAAAACTTTATCGCCGCGTCAACCTAGAGGTTCTCCTTTTCATAACTTTTTAGAAATCAATTGTTTTTTTTAACTTCTGGAGACTAGAACGTTAGACGGACCAAAATTTTTGAAGAACTACACCATCCACCCACCCATCCATCCATCCATCCATCCATCCATCCATCCATTCATTCATTCATTCATACATTCATTCATTCATTCATTCATTTACTTATTCCCCTTCCTTTTTAGAAAGTTTTCAAAGGTAAACGCTCACAAAAAATGAGAAATTGAATTTTATTTCATGTAAAAAAAAAAGTCAAACCAGCCAATAAACAGCATTACATCAGGTAAGTGGACGATAATAATAATGATGATGATGATGAGATCATTAATCGTTCAAGAGATGCCACATTGAAAACGTTTAATTAATTAATTAATTAATTAATTAATATAATTAATATCGGTGGTTTTGAAAAATGAGAAAAAAATGAATGAAAAATCATGTTTAAAAATATTGTAGAATCTCAATAAAATGAAGAAACATAGGAATAAACTAAATATTTACACACTACGTTTGGATAATGATAAATAAATAAATTAGTTAATTAATTAATTAATATGAATATAAATTATATTAAAGATATACACACCTATTCTGAAAGGTTTAATGAGGTCATAAATTAAAAAGTATAAAACGGATAAATACGACAAATGAAACTACATAAATGCAATAAATAGAACTATAGTACTATGACTTGCTTCACAAAAACACTTTTAATAAAAGTAGTAGTAGTAGCAGCAGCAGCAGAAGAAGTAGCAGCAGTGGTAGTAGCAGCAGTAGAAGTAGTAAGAATAGTAGTAGTGGTAGTGAATCTTTCACGAAAATACTTGTAGTAAACATATTTGCAGGTAGGAAAGCTACACGATCACACACAGTAATTGTAGCAGTAGCAGCAGTAGTAGTATCAGTAGCTAGTTGAAGAAGTAGTAGTAGCGGTATCAGTAGTAGTAGTAGTAGTAGTAGTAATAGTAGTAGTAGTAGTAGCAGTTAATTTATAAAGAAATTGAGCGAAATTGAGCGAAACATTGATAAAACTAAGTAAAAACCAGGACATGAAGAAAATTTAAAGCAAATGTACACCAGTTCATCTTCAAGTTAGAGAAACTTTCAATTCTTAATAAATAGGAAAGGTATTATTAACATTAAATAATAATAATAATAATTTTGTCATATATTTTAATCATATTAAAAATGATCGATAACTAATTAGGCCACATTATATTTCTATATAAAGATTAATATGTGATTATCATTGTTGTATTAAATATTGCAAAAAAAATCTGCATTAGATGTTAGATGGATGGATGGACAAATGAAAGAATAAAAGAATGGATGAATGAACGGAATGAGTGAATGAATGAATGGATGAATTGATGCACGGATAGATAATGAATGAGTGAATGGATGAATGGATAGATAAACAGACAAACATACAAATAAATGCACGCATACATGAATGAATGAATGAATGAATGAAAGTATTAATAAAAGAATGATATGCCAGTCAACCAATCACATATGTACAGTACACAGGCACTAACGTAAAATAATAAGACTATTAATAAAACTAATTGAAGAAAAATAACTTTTGAATTCATAAAAATAATGAGATTAATAATAATAGTAATAATTATAATAGGAATCACACTCTGAAATAAATATAATAATAATAATAACTATAATAATATTATTAATAATTATTATCAGTAAAAATAATATTAATGAAAGAAGTTCACAAATTGACATTATTGTTATTGTTGTTAGCAGCAGTTGAAATCTTTGGCAGAATGATGACACTACTTGAGATGAATGATTTGCCACTCTGCACTAACCCTCTCTGGCGTTTGGAGAGAAAATTGTAATTAGTTGATTGATTAATTAGCTAGTGAATTAATTGATTGATTGATCGATCGATTAATTGACTGATTGATTGATAGATCAATCGATTGATTGATTGGCAGATTAATTATTTAGACTGAGCAGCGTACATTAATTAGCCCATATAAAAACCATCATACTTTCTACTCTTACATCCAAAAACTATCGATAAAAAGAAACCCAAAGAATCGTAAAAAGAAGCCCAAAGAATAAACAGCAGACTTACGGAAAAGTCTTCATAGCTAGCCGATACATCGGAGGCATTAGTGTTATTGATGTTGTTGATTTTGTTGTTGTTGTTATTGCTGCTGGCCATATTCCTCGTTGTTGCTATTGTTGTCGCTGTATTTTCCTTGCCATCCTTAAATATCAGTGAAAAATTAATAGTAAAAAATCTCAAACACATAAGATTAGTAAAATACATGCTACTTAGGTATACTAAAACTAAATTTTCTTATAATGAATTAGCAGCTGCCATCATCTTCATCATTATTTTCACCAAAACAACAATGATAATCTCCATCTAATAATAAAAATAAAATAATAATTAAAAATAATAATAATAATTCTTATGGTCATCATCGCCATCATCGTCATCATCATCTACCTGTCTAGTTCTCATCGTCATCATGGTGGTCACACCACTATCAGCACCTCTCACTCTGGGTGGTAGATGACTTAATGGTGGTCTTCCATTGTTGTTGTTATTGTTGGTGGTGGTGTTGCTATTTTTAGCTGGATTTTCCAAGAGCATGGTTTTCCAGTTACTTTCCTTTTTAGCCGTTTTCAATAAGTTAGCCTGGGGTTTCCCATTTACCGGACTTTCCCGTAGCAAGATGGGCTTTTGGGTGACTGAGGCGGCTGCGTTACCCGACGAAGTCGGCGTTCTGCGAGTCGCCGTTCGAAACTTCGAGACGGTCGATGGGTAGATTGGAGGTGATTGGTCAGTCAGTTTCTGATTGGATGGTTGATTGGTTGGTTGTTTGTTTGATTGGTTGGTTGTTTGATTGGTTGGTTGTTTGATTGATTGGTTGGTTGATTGGTTAACTGATTACACAATAGATGAATGATGAAATGTTGTTATTTCAAAATAATAAAGTTTAAACTATAAACTAACAACTTTGTCCAAACGACCGACCTTAAATCTTGAATTAGCTCCATTTCCTGATGACGTAATTTTTCCAGCAGCTGCACCGACAGCAGCAGCGCCAGCAGTAGCAGCTTGCTCGTCGCTGGTGATATTGTCGCAGACGCCGTTGCTGCTGCTGCTTTTGCCACAGCTCCTAGTGGCAGCTGTGGAACGAGTGGTCCTTCGAACGGTGGTGCAGTCGTGGCTGTTGCTAGGCGTACCACCATCTGATTCGTACTGTTGTTGTTGTTGTTGTAATGATGGTAGTGCATAAAACAAAAAAAACACGAGTGAAATTAACAATGAACTAATTTAAATGAGACAGAGAAAGAGAGAGAAAGAGAAAGAAAAAGAAAGAGAGAGAGAGAGAGAGAGAGACAGGAAGAAAGTCGAAGACAAAGAAAAGGAAGACAGAGAGAAAGAGAAGAAGTTACCTTGAGTAGTTTAGCAGCAATCTTAGAAGGAGTAATGTTGGCAATCTTCCTTTTCAGTGGGGTTACAGATATGGTGTTGTTGCTGTTATTAACTTTGTTGTTGTTTTTATTGTTGTTGTTGTTGTTTGATGTGGTCGACGATCCGGAGGATGTGGTGGCCGTCGTCGTGTCGAACTGTCGCGACTTCAAAGTACTCTGAGAGGTAAATTGATTCGTTCATTTAACAAAAGACCAGATGAGTGAATGAATAAATGACAGAGTGAATTGTGAATTAATGGATCAGTTAATGAATGAACGAATGAATGAATGAATGAATGAATGAATGAATGAATGAATGAATGAATGAATGAATGAATGAATGAATGAATGAATGAATGAATGAATGATTAGTAGACACAGATGGATAGACAGACATATCAAACAGAACGACAGACAGACAGACAGACAGACAAACAGATAGAAAGACAGACAGACAGACAGATAGACGGAGAAAAGAGCCAAACGAATGACTGAAAACAATACAAACATAAATTAAATAAGAAACAAATAAACAAGCCTAAATCCCCAATCCAAAAAACAAACCTTTTTTCCAGACCCATAACCCCATGTAGGCGGAGCACCAGAACCGGGTTCGACTGCAGACGACTTCTCACTCTTGAGATCGGTCCACAGAGATTTTACATACTCTTTAAACCTGACACCCTGAACGAGAACCTCGCTAGCACCACTACTAATAATATTACTGCTAGCACCCTTTAGTACCAACCCCCCTAAATTACTCACCCCCATATTGTTGGCGTTATTGTTATTACTACTACTAATAGTAATAGTGGTGGTGGTGGTGGTAGAAGTAGAGGTAGTGTCGTTCCTACTACTAAGGGTAAAAGTATTTTGAGGTTTGGCGTTAATTCCGTCAATCAAATTCTGTATCTCACCTTCAAGCTGGTAAGTTGGAGAGGTATTTAAGGATAGATTTTTTTAAAATATTTTAAATCATTAACCTTTTCAAAAAATTGTTTCTTTTTGTCACTCATAAAATGATTATCGTTAATGTATGTATAGCTTATTATTTTGAAACTAAATGAAAGCAATTATTATGTTGTGATGTAAACATTCATCCAATCATCGCTCCATCCATTCATTCATTCATGCATCCATTCATCCAATCATCAATCCATCCATTCATTAATGCATTCATTGGTTAAATAAAGTGTTTCTAACAGCTGTCAAATCTTTCAACAATCTGCTCTTCAATTTTTCATCCTTCACTGTGTTAGAGGAACGACTGAAGAAACGACTCGATTGACCTGACTTTTTCTGGAATCGATTAACCAATCAATCAGTCAATCAACCAACCAACCAATCAATCAATCAATCAATGTATCAACCAATCAGGATCGACAAATCTACCAGTCAATCAAGATCGACCAAACGAAATCACCCACTCAACGAGCCGACCAATCACTTACCTCGACGGCAACATAGCTTGAAAAAAGATCCTGAAAGGCCTTAACTTTATCAAAAATATGCTTATAGTTGTTATAATAGCAGTTCATCGTGTTTATCTCTCTGGCCAATGAGGTAATGTTTATGGTATCGAACTCGGCTAATTGGTTGAAAAAAAATGTTATTGAATAAAAAATGTAAAATGGATAGAGAAGTGAAAAATGGCATCACATCACACCAGAACATCATCATTTTATAACAACGACATCATCATACCACAGCCAAGCCATTATAGCCAGCAAGAAACAACATCCTTTTGGCAAAAAAATCCCAACAGATTCCAACACGGGATATCCCATCATCAGCGCGTCGCCACCAACCTGACACAAGATGCTTATTCTTCTCCCGATACTCCGTCCCCATCTGACACTTGGTCCAGAGCTCTTGCAGATCTCTCTGCCTACTGACCAAATCCTTCCTAGTCTTCTGGACCCGATTGTTAAGCTGGGTCTGAAGCTAATTGGGTCATGAAAAGTAGGTCAAATGGGTCACTCATTATTCTATCATTGTTTTCGTCGTAAATAATGTCATTGTCGGCATAATTATTATAATTATTTTAAAATGTTATCTAAACTTCATCATGTCGCATACTACCGTAGTCACAAAAACATCAATAAAATTTTTAAAATAAATAAAAATAAATAATGAAAGAAAGGATACCAACACTCTTAACGAGTTTAATGCTAGCGCCAGTATTAAAGGCTAGCCTATAATCTTCATCATAATCTTCCGCACATCTCTCTTTCTGGACTCCTGCCAATCCTAATCCTAATTTGCCTGTGGTGGTGTCAGCTGGATTCAACAGGCAGCCACCATCGCTGCAGTTCCCATTCTTGGTATTGTCATTTTTCTGGTCGTAGTTGTTGTCGTTATAAACTTCAAACTTTGGAAAATCTAGACTGGAGAGTAGTTCAGCTCTCAATCTCGAGATCGTCGCCAGGTTTTCTCTCTTTATTTGCTCCAGCTGAGTAGAAGTGATGATGTGGATGATGACTGTGAATATGAAGATGCTAACGATGATGAAGAAGATGATGATGAATGAAACGGATGTTGGTTACTATGATGGTGATGTTCATAATGTTAATGATTATAAAAAAAAGGAGCATATTATTTAACCTTGCTCAACATAGCTTGGTGATGATACAGAACATCAGCTGAATAAATAAACCCATCATCTGATTGGTTGTCTACGGTGAGAATTTCCTTTTCCTGTTTACCGGTTGGTTCGTATTCGAGTTCTTTCACTAATTTCCGGATACTTTTCTTGAGATCAGTGATTGATTGAATGCGGTTTTCCTATATATTGGATGGATGAATAAATGAATTAATGAATAAATAATAAAATGAAGAAATGAATGAATTAATTAATGAATGAAATTATACTGAATCAATATTTTAAATAATAAACGAAACTCTCCAAAAATCAATTTTAAAAATAACTCTACCAAATCTTTTTCAAGACTTTGAACATGCATCTCATAGAGTTCCAGTTGGTTCAATGAGGGAACCTCGGATATCATTGGTAGGCTGTTTGTCTGTGTGTGTGTTTGTTTGTTTGTGATGGTGACAGATCACAGATGATTTTAAAATCTAACACTCAACTGGCAAAAAATGAATCAAACAATTGAACAAACTGGTAGACAAAATCCTAAACAACCAGCAGCCAACAAATTAATCAATCAAATATTTAACCAATCAGCCAACTAATCAATCAATCAATCAATCAATCAATCAATCAACAGACCAGTCAAACAAGCGCTCAATACACAAATAAAAAAAACGAATATACAAATGGACACCAATAAAAAATGAGCTTACAGCAAACCGATTATTCAATCAATCGTTCAATCAATCAACCAGCAAGTAGACTAACAAACAAACAAATAAATGAACAAACAAACAAACAAATGAATGAATGAACAAACAAACAAATAAACAAACAAACAAACAAGAGCTAACTGCAACGCTCAATCTCGAGCATATAATTCTGTTGGATTCGGTAAGGGAATTCCACCTACTGATCCTGCCTGCCTTCTCCTTACTCAACTTGTCAAAAGTATTTTTCAACTCTTTCTCTCTTTCCAGAATCGTCAGCTCTTTCGGTGGCTTGGTGGAAAAATTGCAAAATTAATTTTTAAAATTTCTATTTAAAAATTATTAAAGTTTTAAAATAGCATTTTTAAAAAAAATATATATTTTTAAAATAAACATTTTTAAAAAGTTCATAAACTTATAATGCTTCATAGTTCTAGTTCATCATTGAAAACAAAACTTAATAAAACAAAAGAAATGGAAGGAACAAAACAAAACATCAGATATTGTTCATATTTGTTGATGTTGTAATATCCAAAAACAAAAATATCATCTTATCAATTTGCATAATTTGGGCAGATGGTGCTCATTGTGTCATCGTTCTGACATGCTAAATGTTACATCAATTTCACATCAGTTAATACATAACATACACACAAACGTATATATATATAGTATACAGATATCACATCACAAACATCAACACATATAGCATACACATACACACATATGCATACAAGCATCACCTCAACGTGGGGTACATTCAACTCTTTAGACAGTTCATAAACCCTGATCGTATACTTGGCCACGTTATCCAGCAGACGACTTTTAAGACCCTCCTCCTCTCTCAGCATTTCTTCAAGGAGGTTACTAATGTGCAGAATGACGACCTCAGTCCTGGATTCCCGCTGTTTTATTATTATGCCTATTTCTAACCAAATGTCGTAAAGTTTTTTTAGGACTCCGTCGATTCTTTGGTTCATCTCATTCTTGAAACCTTGAAACGTGAATTCTGGATGCTTTAGGCTTTTGGAAGATAAAAAAATAATTTGATTATTTTAAAAATTTAAATATTTTTCGCAATTATATAAAAATAAATAATAAATAAAATAAATTGGAAATTTAAAAATTGAAAAATTTCATACAACGATACTGACACTAACTCAGAGTTTTCCATTTTTTCTAAAGTGGCGGTCAAATATAACAGAAAGACTAACAATAAAACTATCGCCGATATTTTAAAACTTTTTTGAACACAAATTATTATTTAATTTATGAATAAAACAATTAAAAACTAATTCTTAAAAATTATAAATTTTAAAATCCGCGCACATGAATAAAAAACTCAACGAATTGTTTATCTTTATCCAATTTTAAAAATTTTAGTGTTGTGCGACGTTTCCAATTAAAACATTTTTGAAAGTATAAAGACTTACAGTATCAATCAATCAATCAATCGATTGATCAATCAATCAATTAATCAATTAATTAGTCAATCAATTATTTTATAAAACGCTATTTCCACAATGTTCAACAATGTTCAATGAATTTTGCAAACAGATGGGTCTTGGAATACGCTCTGAACTTCGTAAGTGATGGAGAAGTAGTCAGAGAGGAAGGTAGAGAGTTCCAGAGAAAAGAGCCAGAAAAAGATTTAGCAAAAGAGTGTTTAACACGAGTTAAGAAGAAGTGAGAACAAGAATGTGCAATTTTTAAAAATTATTCTACATTTTATAGGTAGCCAGTGAACAAGACATGAGATATATGAGAAAAGAAAGGGACACGAGCAGCTAGACGAGCAGCAGAGTTAAAAGCTTTACTTAAGAGATAAAGGGTTGAATCAGGAAGACCATAGTAGTGTAGTTAAAAATCTAATAAAATATATTATTAAATCACTTTTATTGACGAAATAACATTAACTTTCAAATAACAGAATAGCTAAACAACGAAATGTCAAAAAATTTCAGTGATAGATGTCAATTTTGACTGAATAAATATCATATAACTGTTAAAATACGTAAAAAGAAGCGACTAGACAACATATAAATAAACAAATATATTACACTAGTACAAATACGCTTAAACATTAAACATATACATATAAATATGTCATTTTTGAAATAGCATCAAATGTTACCCTTTATTTAAATGAAACTGTAAACTAAAAATGCGAGTATTTACCCTTTTGCTCGAGCGTAAGTCTTATTACTAATAAGTGAATAAGTTATGTAAATGTATACATTCAATCAAAAATAGCCTAAAACATTGGGAAAAAATACGTGTATAATCTCTCTCTCTCTCTCTCTCTCTCTCTCTCTCTCTCTCTCTATATATATATATATATATATATATATATATATATATATATATATATAAGTTAATACGCACACACACACATACGTACATAAACACACACAAATTTAAGGTAGGGCCTCATTTAAGGTAGGTCAGGCCAAAACACTGACTCAGATCCACAACAACGGGCCTTCACAAAAGCAAAATGCAACTCTTTTATAGACACCCACAAAGACTATATATATATATATATATAAGATATATATATATATATAAGATATATATAAGGTATATATATATATATAGAAATGCTAACAAATGGTATTTTGAGATAGAATGCTACGATTACGACCTTGCGAAATGATATGAGTTGATCGAATTTTTTAAAAATAAAATAAATTATTTGTATTAAATAAATGAATAGAAAAAAAAGAAAGTAAAATCAATTAAATAAGTTAAATATCGTAAATAAAGATGTTGTTTTTTAGTTTTAGTTCTGTATTCTACGCGGTTTTTCTTATTTATTGATAGATAGAGAACGCTTTGCAGGGTAAATAAAGAGAAAAAACAAAATATAAATGAAAAAAATAGATTAATTAATGAATGAATTAAATGAAAGAATTTATTAATATTTACAAAACTTGTAATCAAAAAATGTTACTCTAGTAGCCCTATTTGTACTATACATCATTGTTTTACTAATTAACTATATTAACTACCATCAATTTCTCGATTTTGTGTGCAATAAATTTTCATTTTGCTAGCTGAAAGGTTAACATACTACAACATACATGAATGCAACTATCAATGCAAACTCCATCAATCAATTAATCAATTGATCAATCAAAAAATCAATCAATCAATGAATCAGTCAATCATTTATTTATCAATTCATTTAATCAATCATCCGACCTATCATAATCAGACACTTCAGTCAATCAACCAACTAGCAAAGCCCTCATCAACCAATCGGATCGACCAAATTAATCAACCAGCCGACCTTCAAAAACCAATCAACCAGCCCAACCAATCAATAATGAAACATTTCCTTATGCAGGTCTGGCATTTTAACGTTAGTTAAGATGGAGTTCATGTTCTGTAACTTTTTCAAATGTAGGTCATTTATATGAGTCAGTCTCGGCAAGATGTCCACAGTTTTTTGGTAGTGCTGCATGTAATCATCTGTAACAAAATTAGTAGTAGCAGTAGTAGTAGCAGCAGAAGTAGTAGTAGTAGTAGTAGCAGTAGTAGTAGTAGTAGTAGTAGCAACAGCAGTAGTAGTAGTAGCTGTAGTAGTAGTAGTAGTGGTGGTGGTGGTGGTAGTAGTAGTAGTAGTAGTAGTAGCAGCAGTAGTAGTGGTAGTGGTAGCAGTAGCAGCAGTAGTAGTGGTGGTAGTATCTTAAATGTTTACGTATCGTAAGCATCAAATTAATGACTGTAATTAAAAAAATAATAACAGTCAATAATAACAACAATAATAATAACAGTCAACAATATAACAATAATAAAAAAAACCACACGCCACACCTGGTCTCGATCTCTTCATATACTGACTGAGAGCCAGCTTATAGAGGTGCTGCAACTTCTGAACCGTCCTAACATTCTCCAGATCTTGCCTTTCTGGAAAAAATTCGGAAAAACTGCCATATTACTTTAGTATATACAAACAAGGCTGATAGCGTGTTTCATACCTGGGTTCATAATCATTATAGCCGAGATAATGCCGATTTCACAGTCATCTAGATCGAGTTTGTTGAATTCAACGGCAAATTTGTACTGCTCTTCAAAGAAATCTCCCAAAGGTATGCAGGCGAACTTACTCCTTGTAAAGAAAGTAATTTCATAATAAAACAACATCAATAATAATAATTTTTATTATTATTATTTTCCGGATATTTTTCTGGACCGAATATTTTCGCCAAAGTTTAATTAGCAGTTTGATATCATCATCATCATATACAATATATTGTGATCGGAACAATGCCTAAATCAATTTTCATAACCATCTCGTCACCGCTGTTCTTATTTTATTTTAAATGAAGGGCATGATGACTAACTATGATGATTATGATTTTATTTTAATCATGACTATTTCTCTATTAATTAATTAATTAATTAATTAATGATTTTAAGCATTTGATGAAAAAACAAAAGATCTGTTCCCATTATGATGATAATAATAATAATAATAATAATGATAATAATAATAATAATAATAATGATAATAATAATAATAATATTAATAATATTAACGATATTAAGTACCTTGGTATCAATACTGTCATGTCTGGCAAGAACATACCGTCATCCGAGACTAACAATGTATATCTGGATGGATATTTTTTTAGAGGATGAAAATTATTTATAATAATAATAATAATAATAATAATAATAATATCACTATCATAATCATCATACTATCATTATCATAATTTATCATAACAATAATATCATCGTCGTCGTCATCATAACCTGGTTAGTATAACTTCAAATGACCCTTGCTTCAACAGTGTTATCTGATCTTGCTGGTGCAATTCGCCGAACCCTGTCGTTGCATTGTTAAACTTGTAATGGCAATGAATAGTTTGTAATTTACAATTAGTAGTAGCAGTAAAAGTTATGTAATAGTAGTAATAATAGTAGTTAGTAACAGCAGTAGCAGTAGTAGTAGCAGTAACTGCCTCAGCAAAATCAGCAACAGGAGCTGCAGTAGTAGTAGTAGTAGCAGTAGTAGTAGCAGCAGTAATAGTAGTAGCAGCAGCAGCAACAGCAGTAGTAGTAGCAGTAGTAGTAGCAGCAGTAGTAGTAGCAGCAGCAGCAGTAGCAGCAGCGGTGTTAATAGTAGTTGTAGTATTTTACCTGGTAGTTTTTTACTAAAAGAAATGACTCTTTTGAGTACGGGGACCATGTTGTTGACAAAGTGCTCCCACCACTTCAATGGTTCGTTACTAGTACCTGATTCGCTCATTACGCCATCTTCATTAACGTTATATTGTCCTGGAGTCTTATTAATATAACAATAATTACAATAACTGTAATTATTGTTATTATTATTAACTATTATTGTTTTTTTTATTATTAATTGTATTTCAATATCATACCTGGTTTAAGGTCAAATAATCTGACTTCAGCCTGGCCACTTTGCTGTAGGTGTACTTGCAGGTCTGCATATGAGCGTTTATTAAAGTGGCCTCGACATTTTTTATTAGGTCAAAGTAGGTGTAATCACGTGATGTCATTTTATGTTGGCCAGTTGACGAGTGGTCAGTTTTGTTGTTGTTGTTGTCTAGTTGTTGTTGTTGTTGTTGTTGTTGTTGATGTTGTTGTTGATGTTGTCTGCCCGTGAAATGGAAAGTTGATATAGTCTCATTGAAATTACTGCTACTATTGTTGTTGTCGTGGTTTATGCTGTTGATGACGTCATATTTGAAGAGGTTGTTGATGTTGGTGGTGGTGTTATCGTTGAAAGCTCCGACAAAATTATGGCTGGTATTCACATTGAAGAATTTCATACCGTTAGTTTTGTCACTGAGGCTGTCCTTGAATTCGAGGCTGTTGTTTCCAATGTCTTTGCTAGTAAAACTATTTGATTTAAGTTTACTTTTGAACTTTTCTAAATTGAGATTATCTCGATTATCATTTCTGACGTCATCGCCATCAGCGTCATCGTCAGCGCACATGTCGACGCTACCACCACCACCGACACCGATAACCACATCCTCCCTGCTTCCAAATAATTTAAAACCGTCGATAAAATTATGCGTAATATTTTCATCACTATCATTATTATTATTCTTTTTGTTATAATCGTTGTTGTTATTATTATTATTATTCTTATTATCCCCTCCGCTATCCTCATTAATGACGTCATCGTCATCTTCGAAAAAGCGAATAATTGTTCGAGCTTTTCGGCGAATCTTCGTCGATTCGATTACCGATCGGTGAAGTAGAACTTGCCCATCACTTTTTATGTAACCGATTGCATTTTTTAAGTTGCATCTGTGCTGGCCTCCGCAGTTGTATTTTTGTTGTTGTTGCTGCTGCTGCTGCTGCAACTGCTGCTGCTGATGTGGTTGTCGTTGTTTGTTGAGATTCGAAATTGGATAATATTTTTGCTGTTGTGTATTTTGCTGGCGCGGTTGTTGTAGTTGTGGGTGGTGGTTGTGGTGATCAGAATGATGATGTTGATGATGGTCATGTTGTTGTTGTTGTTGCTGCTGTAGCTCTTGCGGCTGTTGTTGTTGTTGTTGTTGATCCCAAT